AATCAGCGAGGAGGAACGTCCTGGTCACCAACATGTCGTGTGATCGGACACGAGAACCAGAAGAACATATGGTTACTGTGTGGTAACGTTCCAGTACTTGTAGCTTCTCACAACATACGCATTGCTTCTCCTTCTGAAGCTCTTGCTCAATCAGTGTTGAATGGTGAACCTGTGATTCCATACAAGATCATCAATGATACAGGTCAACAAGCGTTTCTTGATGCAAGACAATCAGATGAGGTTGAAGTTGTTCGTGATGGTCCAGGACAAGCAGATGATGTTGAGGTTGTCCATGAAGGCAATGTGGATTCAGCACTCCCTCCTATACCAGAAGTATCTGAAGAGGAATGGGATATACGGCCCGGTTTCTTTGAAGAAGATGAGGAGGAGGAAGATACAGGTCCAATGGAAGAAGACATCTTTTCACAGAGTAGAACCCCAGAAAGAAGAGTTGAAAGACCACATCCAGGAGATGGAGATCATGAACGCAATGTGAGACCTCGAGTAGAGTCTCACCTACAACCTGAGTCGGAGAGAGGCTCATCACTTGTGCCATCTCGGAGAGACTCCTTTGTGCCTGATTCTACTCCAAGTGGCTCCGTTTTGGGACCACTATCCTCGCCGTCAGCATCATCTTGGCCATTACGAAGAGAACTTTTGAATGACTTACCACATCAATTGCGAACACATCTTGAAAGAGCTCGTGAGAGAGACTCAGAACGAAGTCCTGAAGAACAACAAGAAGCACGAGCATTGTTTGCATCATTTTTGTCCCAGGAAGTTGAAGTCCCTGAGGACGAAGAGCAAGGTAAGAAAGTGTTGAAATCAATCCACTATGAATCAGCGTCACCTGATGTACAGAAGAACATCATGGATGCCAGAACCAAGGAGTGGAGCAAGTTCCTTGAGTTCGCTGCTGTTGTTGAAATCTCAAAAGAAGATGCTGAGAGGTTGATTGCTGAAGGACATCAATGTATTCCTAGCAAGTGGGTTGATGTTGACAAGAATCAGTTCATGAAAGGAAGATCAGATCAAGAATATGTGCCAAAGTTCAAGAGCCGGTTGGTATCATGCGGCAATTTCGAAGTCAGTGAAGGTTTGAGATCAGACAGTCCTACAGCAGATACGGAAGCTCACAACATTCTTTGCTGTTGGGCGGCGATCCAGGGCGCACAATTGCACAGTGCGGACGTCGCATCCGCATATTTCCAAGGTCGTCCTCTTGATAGAGTTCTCATTATGAGACAACCCCGAGGAGGTCTCCCGGGGATTGATCCAGAGGTGTTTTTCCTTGTGCGGGTGCCTATATATGGATTGACTGACAGCGGTCGAGGTTTTTGGTTGAGGTTGGACGGAGATGCCTGATCCAGTGGCTTGAAACAATCCAAGTTTTACCCAGGATTGTATTTCCTTCCAGGAACCGACAAAGATTGCGTTGCACTTATGGCGACACATGTGGATGACATCTTGTACGCATACATTCCTGAGGGAAAGTCAGTGATCGACAGCTTCTTGGAGAAGTTCAACTTGGGATCAAGTGAATCAAATTCGTTTCGCTATTGTGGCAAGCAATTTGAGCGGACTGCAGATGGAACAATCACACAAGACACTTGCGACAACACCCGTCGCATCAAGCCGATCAAGATCGCGCCAGGAAGATCAGCGTCCGAGCCGTTGGGTAAGGATGATGTGACCCGATTACGGTCTGTAACGGGATCATTGGCATGGGTGGCAAGACAGACTAGACCCGATTTGGGTTATCGTGTGAGCCGCCTACAGTCCAGTATTTCTGGAGCGACAGTTGCTATTTTGCACGACGCAAATGCCGTAGTACAGCTGGCACAACAAGGCATTGAGAACAAGCTCATTTTTCCAGGTGGACATCTAACCTGGGGAAAGGTTGGTATCATTACAGTAACAGATGCTTCATTTTCAAACGAGAAGAACTACAAATCACAACAAGGACGTTTCCATTTTCTTGGAGACATCAATGAGATCAAAGACCCCAAGACTACATCCTACAGGGTGATGCCATTGGGATTTGCATCAAATACAATTCGGCGAGTATGCCGCAGCACTCTTCAATGCGAAGCTTATTCACTGCAGGCTGGACAAGAGAGCGGTGACAAGCTACGTGGAGCATTGGCCGAACTGATGGGCCAACTTGACTCGATGAAAACATGGTTGGATGACAGCCGCAGCTGTATTCCACAACTGATGCTTTCAGACTGCAGGTCTCTAACAGACCATCTTGCGAATGAGGTACTCGGCAGGGTCGCAGACAAACGACTCGGCATTGAGTTGCAGTCGATTCATGAGTCACTTTGGCAAGACGGCCGGAGGACCTGAGATATGCATCATGGCGGAGGAGACGTTGTTACCTGGATTGCTACAGGGACTATTGTCTCGGATGCTCTGACCAAGAGCATGCGCCCGGACCTCATTATCCGCGTCTTGAAGGAGTGCATTTACCGTGTACAGAAGAAGCCTTAGAGCCAACTTTTTCACTAGCATCATGTGATCCTTGAAGAACAGGTTGAGTGTGAGTTTGACCTGTCCAATGTATATTTTGTATAGCCAAGTGATCACATGCCCCCGTTGACATTTGGCTTTAGGGCCCTTGAGTCATACCGCGCTGCCGTGGTAAAAGTTGGGCATTTGACGATCCCGTTTCCAATTCATACATATACTGTATATTACGGAAGTTTGAGGAAGTTTGATTGACTGCTATGCTCTGTGAGTTTCAAGGGCAACTGGTTCACTGGAACCTTGCAGTCAGACCTGCTCTCAGATATTTCATGTTTCATTCAATTCCGATGATCCTTTGAATCTTCATCTGCCGCTGCAACTGCCGCGACTTAGAATTTTGCGTCTCGAGGTAGAAGGTGATGTTGCGAATGTCAAGTGCGATGCTACCCCAGCTGGTTTTGCAGTTTTGCATTTTATCATATTTTATCTAGCCACTAGACTAGCCTAGACTGGCCGTGGCAGCACGCTATGGCAATCTATGGCAGCTTTCGTTTTTGGTGGTGTGAAGTTTTGTGCCTGCTTTCACCAGGTTGATCCTCCTGGTGTTGTCACGGTTGCTCCTCTGACCAGTGCAGGAACCTCAAATTCGATCAAATTCATACAATGAGCATTCTATTTGCACATCTTGCACCGTGACTTGCGCCGCTTGCCAATGATCAATAATTATCAATAATTGATCTAATTATCTAATTGTAATTTGCCAAAGGACCAAAGGAGTGCCCTAAGGCTTTTTGGCTCATAGGACCTCATAGGTCAAAAATGGTAAAAATGTGCACGGCTGCGCTTTCGCACATCAAGTTGTCGACTAGTTTCGTAAGTGACGACTCAGTGCATTGAGTCCATGCGGTGTGAGTTTTTGGCATTCATTGAACTTAAGAATTTTTGCCAGGTGAGGCCTGCAAGAAAACGCAAGGAGGCGCGCGCTTCATTTTGCACGTATTCACAAGTATTCATACAATTTCATACTATATCAGCCTTATTCATCAAATTTTATAAGTATTAAGTATTCATTGAATTCATGGTGTCCTTTATTACCCATCCTAATTTGCATGAGTTCTCTGGTGCCAGGACAAAGTTGGACAGGCGCGGCGACGTGCAAGGCAGGTGTCTTGTTTTTTTGAAGTGTCAAAAGTTTTCAGTCCGTAGAGGCCATAGCAGATCGCATGCAGATAGCATGCAAATAGCATGTTGATTACCATCTGGTTATTTAACATAGCCATGGAAAATCACCATTTTTAATAGGTAAACCCAGGTAAACCATCTATAAATGGACCATTTTCCATAGCTATGTTGTTTACCAGAGGGTATTGCTCTTGTTGTTTTTTTAGAGTTTTTTGATTAGTTCGACACGCCTGGAAAGAGCTCCTCGGTGCCTCACAGCATGTTTCTATCGTTTGAGACTGGCTTTCTCAGGTCAGTTGGCTGACTTTCGTTGTCGGATGGGGATGGGTCAAAACCCTGGTACCGAGTGAACCCCAAAATAGCTGGTAAATGGATGTTCATCCCACTAAAAAATGTATCTATAGGTATTGATCCATACCCAGATCACTAAGAGACAGAGATGCCCTAAATCGGGGCATAATCTCACAGCTTTGGCCAGACTGGCCAAAGTTGAACAATCCAGCTTTTGAATTGGGAACCAAACCAGAACCATCTGATGCTAACTAGTGGCAGAACTAGCGTTCCTGTGAATCCAAAGTGAGTTCCACTTTGCTAAGCGATAAGAAGCCAAGCTCTTTTGAAGAGTGGCCAAGTGCCGAAAGTGGCCTTGGCCGCTGAAGGCTTGAACTATCTTGAACTATCTATGTACAAAGGGCGAGAGACGCAGTGCGCAGTGCGCAGTGCGCAGTGCAGCACATCGAGCATCGCAGAGAGCACTGAGTGCACTGAGTCTGACCTCGTCGGCCGAGTCGACAGATGTCGACGGGCTCAAAAAAGAGTCTAATTCGCTCCGCGAGAAACGGCCACATCAGCCCCTTTCACCAGAATTTCTCAACATATGTCAACATATGTCAACATATGTGAACAATTTGACTGAAAGGCCCTTAAAGGTTCAGGTTGATCAGATTGGATTTCTGCAATCATGCTTCGCAAGTTCGCATGTCATGCTTGAAGCACAGATGGCATCGGATGGCATGGACATGGCCATTCCACTGTGACTGCGCTCAAATTCAGATTTGAGACATCACAGTTCAGACTTTCACATATGACTTTCACCAGGATTCACCATGGAAGGCAGCAGGATTCAACACGTTTTTGAAGCATGGAATGGTTCACCATCCCATCACGGCAGAATCCCAAAATTCTAACATGGCTGACGGCTGACGGCTACAGATGCACTTACAGTGTAAATGATAAGTCTTGGAAGATCTTGGAAGGTAGCCACAAAGAAAAGATTGAAATTATAGACATAGATTCACAAAGATACACAAAGATACACAAAGATACTTTAAGACTTTAAGATACTTTGTATGTTTAAGCTTTACAAGCACTTCCCCAGCCATGCGCTAGCTGCCGCTAAGTGGCAGGCAGCCACAGTCACTGAATAGGAAACATGTTGAGAAAGCTGCAGGGCGGAGGAAGAAACGCAGCCAGGACATGCCAGGACCAGTTCAAGATTCTGATTATAAGTGTCGGCACAATGAAGAAGGCAACAGAACAATTGATAGAACAAATCCATACGAAATATGAGATTTGGAATATGTTTTACACATGTTAGATTTGTTTATTTATATATATATATGTGTGTGTGTTTATGTTTGATATTGCTTATATAACTTATATATTTGATGTTCTCTTGCATTCTGCATTCATATTCCATATACTCCTATTCTTCTGGCATATTTCTCTGCGTTTTGCAGATGCCAGCGCCTCACAAGCATATCGAGCACATCGAGGCCACTTGCGGAGTTTGATGTAAAATCACCGTGGTGTGCCTCGATCTTTCCAATTTTGAGCGAAATTTCACATGATTTGACATGATTTGACATGATTATCATGATTTCAGTGTTTCAGATGTTTCAGGCAAATGAATCTTCGAATTCGCTTTCTCCAAAACAGGCTCAGGGCGTGCTGGCAACGTGCTGACAACATGTCACGCATGTCACGCATGTCACGCATGTCATGCGGTGAGCAGCGCAGGATGTGCCCAATCCGGTACCATTGCTCCCATCAGGCGGGAGAAGGGAGACCGAAGGACCGAAGGACCGAAGGGAGACCGAAGGGAACAGCTTCCGCACCGAGAACGCTCGAGCTAAGGCAATCTAGTGGCGTCACGTGGATCGAAGGTCGGGGGCCAAATTGGTGGTCGTTGGAGAAACACCCGAGGATGTGTAAATTCTTTGTAGATTGCAACTTGTCTCCACGGTTTTCTGATATCGTTATATCATGTTATATCTCTTTATTACATATATATATATATTACATGTATAATATATGTATATATTATATATGATACATATATTATCTTATGCATAATATATGTATACATTGTGGTCCTGAAATAGATATGGTGCATTTGCAATCCTTATGTTCAAAAACACGTAAAAGTAGTTGGAAGGTAAACAGTCCTTCATATGGCAAGAAATCAACTCCGATGGCCAAGAACTGCGGCAGGACATCACTAGTGCACCTCACTCGTGAAAGGTGCTGGTTTTTTTAAAACGTAAGGACCGTAAGGAATCAGTTTGGGGAACACCATTTTGAGTTGAGACACGTCTTGAGCCACACAAATGTCACAATTTTGCTTTATTTTGAAAGCTTGACTTCACCTTTCCTTTGAAAGCCTTTGTCTTGACCATTTTATGATTTTGATGAAACGCTTCCGTATTCTATGCATGTGCCCTTGCGACCTAACAGTGGTAACAGCTTCCAAAAGTTCTGAACTGGTACTGCTCCATCTAGACGCTTCTCCTGTACATAGTTGTTGCATTTGTATGTGTATATGTATATATAATGTACTGTTTTGTAGTCATATCTTGCTATACACTTATTTTCAGTGACCCTGAAGAACACTGTTATTTAGCTGTGATTAGCTGGAACAGTTCTGATCTTAAATACTGTACTCAACTACCTCTCAAAAACACATTCCAACTATCCCTTTTTGTGATATTCCAAGCGTGTCGGGGGGATCTAAATATTCCAACTATTTCTAATATTTGATCGGCCCAAACTTCAATATAAATTCCCGCACCCTTCAATTGTGTATTCTATCTGCTTTAAGATCACTATATATGTAATTATACGTTCATAATCCGATATGTATATATACATACATATACAATATAATGATATATACACTATATATATATATTCGTTCATTATGTTTCATATTCCTTACAATCGATTGTTTATTCAGATTCTCCTGTCACTTCTATTTCCATTCTATGACTGTCAAGGTTTTCTGAGGTTTGTAACCTGTTTGTGCTACGCTCCGCTACGAATGTTATCCATAGCTCGTCTCGGGACCGAATCAGGGCAACCCGACCTTGAAGGCGTGGCCGTGGCACGTGGCACGTGCTTCATTTGTGCTGCGTAGAACATCTTCGTCTCTTCATTTTTCCATATTTTTCCCATTTGGCATTTGATGTTCGATGTTCGATATGTCGTTCGCGAGGAAGACAAAGACGGAGCAAGCTTCGCTCTTAGACTGACATGGACTCTGTCAATCTGGAGGATTCGCCGTCAAACTGATCAAATCTGGCAAGGAATCACATTCGATTAACGAGTGGCATCTGACAGAATTCCAGAAATTCTTCCACGTCTTGAGGCGAATGTTTTAGATTACGACACGTCCAGATTGACACCTTGCTCAAGGTTCAGCCTGAGCGGTCGAATTTCAGCAACACTTACAGTTGCACAAGTGTGACAACAGTAGATGCGCCACTGATTGGAACCGATAACCAGTTCTCCCTGTGGCAGGAACCAGAATGCTGACGACAAATGTGTTTTTCAAACTTTACAGTAGCCCTGACTTTTATCTTTGTGAGTTTGGGATTTCATTGAAGGATGCGGTTTGCGTTTCCTTCCAAGATCTTTCCAATATTTCAATATGTTTCAATATATATATATACTGTATATATATATATTTTTTCAATGTTATTTCAGTGATTTCAACGCTTCCAGGATGGCACCTTGGGCCTTTTGCTGCACGGCACATCAGTGGTGGGCTTTTGCAGCGAAGAAGTTGCGGATCAGGGATGGCACGCCCCTGAGATGTTTTCTTGGTATTGTGATGTGAGTGTGGTTGATTTCAGGATATTTCATGATATTTCATGATATTTCATGATATTTCATGATGTCTTGAAATACTTTGACAATATGACATATCTGACATTTTCTTCTGACATGTTCTGATTTTGTACCAGGTTGGTGGGAGATCAGATCGTTGAGATCAACGGAAGACGTGTCTCAGCATTTGACGAATTCCTGGAGCGCTTCGTCGCAGCTCAAGTCCAGGCGGCGATAGAAATTCGTGTTGTTTCATAGTGACAAGAGAAACAAGAGAAACAACAAGAGAAACAACAAGAGAAATCAAGTCCAAAAAAACACATGTCGAACATTGCGGAAGCTGTTCAAACACTGTTTCATGTCTTAGACTCTGTAAGTAGTTTGCAGTTTGGCATATGTTATGGCCTTTTGCTGACCTTTTTTGGCTCCTGCACTTCTGAGAGGTCTCTTTATATTCTTTATGTCTCTTTACAATACTCTTCAGATGTCTCTTAGGGCAGGGATCCCTTACTCGGAGCGCGGAGATGGCCAGGGTTTTCCCATCATCTTCAGTGTCCTGAGACGTGAAGCTCCCGAAGCTATTGAATCTCCTGTAGCCAAGGCCAGAGATATAGAGATGTGGAGCCAAATGTTGCGGATGGAGATTTGTTTTGCGGATCTTCATTGGAATATATTGGAATTCAGCAATGCGGTGAATTTTGCATCGCATCGAGTATCATCGAGTGCATCTGAAAGTCTGAAACTGGAACGTTCGGGGACATGAACGCTGCATGAGATGCATCCAAGAGACGTCCATTGATTCCACATGAAAATTCCGAGATTGAGCATTGTGTAGAAGTGTAGAACCATGGACTCCATGGACTCCATGGACTCCATGGACTCCATGGACCATGTAGAACCCAAGCTGGGACATCGTCTGAGTTTCTGGTTGTTACTTTGGTCACTTTCAAAATCTTTCAGGTTGGACTTACAAAACGACTTGAAGGGATGCCTTTTGTATCCTTTTTGTGTCGTAAAACGACATTGGCCTGTCTCATCCTGCCTCATGGCCTCATCCTGTCGATGCAGGATCCCTTGGACGCTTTCTTCAGCGAAATGCCGTTTTCAGACTTGGCCAGTCAGCCATCGCCTCGGAAATCCTTGGGGCCAATCGGCCAATGTCATGCCAACCAAGCATAACCGCATAACCTGCACAGACCTCAAACATCCTCAAACGAAAGTGAGAAGAGCATCTCATTTAGCTGACTCAATTTGAATTATTCTAATATCATTCTCTAACTCTCATGATTCTCATGATTCTCATGGGGGGTTCAGTGTTTTAGGCTGCAGAGTTCATGATGTTCATGCAGCGTTCTGTGCCATGTTCTGAACGCCTCTTGATTTGTCGTGTTCTGGTGCCCTGAGGCTGAAGACCAAGTTTGGACCGCAGCCAAAACAGGCACAAGCAGTTTGACAAAGAGTTTGACAAATATGTGCAAAATATGTGCAAATCGCAAATGCATTTGATATACATTTTATGCATTGTGCATCATGTTATCAAACGTTCAGCATGTGTTTCTTTCGTTTCTGTCGCACTTTGTCGCAGGCTTTCGGTACAGTCACTGGCATTTCATGTATTCTCGCGCAGGTTACAACTTTTCAAGCAGCGTCATCATTTGGTCGCAAGCCAAGTCAGAGCAACTATACTCTATGTCAAAGCTCCAGCCTGTCCAGTTTGTTTGGGGGAAGAAATGAACAGCGTCAGGGAAAAGAGCCTGCATCATAGGCCCTTCGCAATGTGAAATGATGTGAAAGATGTTTTTTGGTTCACTCGGCCATGATAAAAACAAGTATAAAATCATGAGATAAGATAGGTTTTTGTTTCACACGTATAAAATCATGTTGTTTCCTGTTGTTTCCCGTTGTTTCGGCTTGGCATAGCCCGAGATGAATTCACATGATGAATTCACATTGTGGCTGGCTGAGGTGACTTGTCCATCTTGGAAAATCCATATATTCAGGTTGGGTATGGGTGATATCATGGTGATAGTATGTGCATAGTATATGTTATGACATGTTATGACATGTTATGACATGTTATGATATGTTATGATAGCTAATATATGATTCTAATATGATATTTAACTTTCCACAGGAAGCTCTTGTTTGGGATCCGTCAGTTTGCAAAGCGCATGTGCTCTGCCTTTTGGCACTGGCAGGGTACTTGGCCTTGGATGTTCTTTGCATTTGTTCATTGGTATTGCTGGTCAAGTTGCAGCTATATTTTGAGATGTTGCATGATGTTGCATTGTAGGCAGTGTCCATTGCATTCCTGGGAAATCTGCATGCTGGAATTACAGCCTGAACCCGAAACAGTCTCAAATAACTCCTGTGTCCTATCATTGCCTCGGATTGTTTTGCCTGCCGACTTTTCTTCTGCGCCGCCCTGCTTCGGGGCAAGCATTATGGAGACAAGTGATACTGATAGCTATATTTGTTGTACACGATTTGTACACATGTATATTACATTATGTATATGATATAATTGATATAATTGATATAATTGTAATGTACACAATATTGACAATAAAAAAACACATATATAGAAATTTATGACCATTTATGATATGTTCATTATACCATGTATATACCAGGTATATATATATGTATATACCATGTGTTTATCTGTTTTTCTTGCGGAGGCTCTGCGGAAACGGCGAAGCGAGCTGAGCCGCAGCCCGGAGGGCTGGAGCCACGGGAAGGGCTGGGAATTTTCGGCACGGCACCACGTCACGGTGAAAACGGGGTGCAACGGGTGCACCACGGCTGGAAAATCTCATAACATGCATGTAAAATGCATGTAAACATCCAAGTTCTGATTTCAAAATGAACTTCTCCAGAAAATTATCCATGTTCAAAGCGACTCAAAATAATTGAAAGAAGCGGCGTCTGATTCTCCTGGTGCTACGGCTTCATACGGCTTCTAATCTCAGCACTTTGCCGTTCTTTGGATCTTTGTCCAAGTCTTGGATGTCGATGTCCTGACACAGTGGGATGACTTGTTTACACCACAAGTTGCAACAGCAGAAAAAAGAGCAGAAAATACTGTGGTCGCGCCGTTGCATATCTCGTTGCCTCAGGAGTGAGGATTACCAGGCTCAGGCTCTGCCCTTAGAGCTGAAACGATGACTGAACTGCCACTGTTTTTTTTGGCAAAGGTCGCTGAAAGCTGAAAGTGTCTCAAAGACATCATTAAGATTATAGTAAGATCAATTCAAAACATATTTTTTGTTTTTTCCTTCTTAGCTTGCACCATGACGCCACGAGACGCACCGGCACCAAGTCGCTGGCTGCAAAGATGGCCTCGGAACGCGGGGATGCATTGGCCACGTTGCTGAAGCCTCAGGGCAAACATGGAAAAAAGTCGAAGCAAATAGAAACAAGAGATTTGAAATATTCAATATTGGTTCGATATTGATTCAATATTGATGCAATAGATTGAAGGCGTCCTAGGTACTGTAGAAGATGAAATAACACTTCAAGTAAAGGATTCTTTTCAAAAAAGTAGGTGAAAGGTGATACAAATAGAATTCTATGGGTAGGAACGCTGGATTTGGAGCTGGTTAGATGGAGCATGATGGACCGGTTAAATCATACTGCGTGGAAGCAAAGTAAGCAAAGTTCCGTATATCCAAGATTTCAATTTATTCCAAGATTGAATTGAATATTTGAAAATCTACAAGGTGAGCAGTTTTTATTGTGTTTGTTTTTGGCCAGCATTGTGCTGTCTCTAAGGTCGAAGGATTCTACTGAAACACCTCGAAGGCACGTTTGAGCTTTGGCAGAGAGGCGATCACGACCGACTTTTCAGTGTGGATCAGGTATGAAAGAAACTCCAGATCGCCAAGTGCATTTGATTTGCCCGGATCCGGGCATTTCTTAGACACTGGAAGCGTTTGTGCAGTTTGGAAACGTTTGGAAGTCTCTGCATGTGTTTTTTTGGGGGGAGAAGCAGACATACCGCGTGCATCTGCGTGCCATATCTTGGCTTCGTTGGATTAAGCTGCCGACTGCCAAGGTTCTCGTGCATCACCGCATTTCGACCATGCAGAGAGAAGGAGGCAACGGAAAGTGACAGCATAGCATAGCAATAGCAGCTGTAGATAGCGTGGCATAGCAAATGACTATGACATGCAAAGACTTCCTTGGTGAAGCATAGATTTTGCGAACAAACACCCCTCGACATGATCTGACATGCGTGTATATATTGTATATACATATATATATATATATATATATTGTGTGTGTGATGTTGTTTCTGTTCAGTCACTCGCTGAAAAGCCAATGTAATAGGCTTGTCCGATCATGCAGAGGCAGAAGGCTACTCTTGTACACTATACTCAGCACACAGTAGGCTGGTGGTGTACATGTTTATACATACGATATATCTTGTGGTATCCTATTATCTTGTGATACGTATATAGATAGATAGATAGATTAGATTCGATTAGACTAGATTAGATTAGATAGATAGATAGATAGGATAGATTAGATAGATAGATAGGATAGGATAGGATAGATTAGATAGATACATAAGATAGATAAGATAGATAGATAGATAGATAGGATAGATTAGATAGGATAGATTAGATTAGATTAGATTAGTTAGATAGATAGATAATACAAACATATAGTTCATATACATATATACATATATATGATATATGTATGTTTTATATTGTGAGGTTTTTTGTTCTGTGCGCGGGGTCAATGAAGTGTGGTTATTACAGGCTGGGGCCGAAGAGTTCCATACCACTCCTCGCGACTGCGATTTCGAGCAGGCCACGGTGAAAATCATCGAAGTGCATCGGATGTGTATCCGATGTCTATGCGATTTCTCCCACATTTCTCCCGAAGTGTGCCTTTGTTTTAGCTGTTTGTCCCAATAAAAACAATTAAAAACTCAACTAAATCTGGAAGGGCCCTTCCAAGGAGCAATGGCAAGCCATGTCGACTAGGCATCTATTAGGATTACTAGGCACCTTTCTGCACCTCTCGCCCTTTCCTGTTCATCGTCGTTGTGCCAAGAGCTGCTACGTCTTATATTGGGCCTCAGAGAGCAGAGATAAGATGTGATCTGTTGTCAGGTGTAGTTAGAAGTTAACATGAACCACATGTGAAATCAAATGATAAAATATGAGAAACATGAAAAAGACATTGACATGACATGCCAAATGCTGACATACTAATATATACATTACATGCGCATATAATATACAAGTGTGTTACATACATACCATAATATGCCAATCACTTTCATCAAAAGGTTGATTGGGTGAAGGGGAAATCTGAAAGTGAAGTCGTGTTCGAACTTGCCAACTATCCTTCACCCAATCAACATCTTAACGAAGGTGATTGGAGTTCAGTATCTATATAGATATTGATCCTGGCGAGGGAACTTGTGGTCTTATCCGGCGCGATTTTTGGCGCAGGTGTCTACTCCGAACGCAGTGGTGCTCACTGCTCGGGATGGACAGGCTGGAATGGGCCTTGACAAGAAAACCGCAAGATCCACAAGGAACATAGGGGTTCAAGATGGTTTAAGTAGGTTTAAGTTAAGAGATCTCGAAATTTGTTGAAATACTTATAAATACTTATATTTAAAATTGGTGTTCATTTTCTGTGTCTTCTCTGTCTGTTTGTTCCTGCTTTTCGCAGTAAACGCTGCTTTGTCCCTGAGGGCCGCAGCAAGTGAGGCGGCCTGTCTGGATTGAGGTATTGAGGTCGAAGTCCATGTTGTTCTGCTCCAACAGAATGTTATGTTGAATGGTGAATGTTTGAATGTTGTGTGTTTTAAGAAGCCGCTCAAAACCTGCCAAACAGTGGGTAAGTTGTCACAATTGTCGCTGGGTTTTTCCAAGGTCAGATTTCAGGTCCCGTTTTTTCAAGTTTCTTGTGGTGCTGTATCAATGCAGGGGAAGCATCTTCCTTCAGCACTCGATGCGTTTAGCATTCAGTGCAGCACTGCGTCTTCTGCTCGAGTAGAAAAAACATGTTCATGAACCATAGACATAGAATGTCGACATTCATAAACAGCAGCACCAGCAACCAAACTGCAAAGCATCCCAGTACAGTTGCAATACAGTTGGACACCTGAGATGCAGCATGAACGAGGCAAAGGAAAAAAAGGAAAACCAAAGGGACCTAAACAGTTGGACACCTGATCCATCTGAGCCCAGAATTCGCTATGTTGCTAACTGCTGTGTTTGCAAAAACCCTCCCAAACTCCCTGAGACACCTTGAGACACCTGGGAAAAACCTGGGAAACATGAGACATGAGACACCTGGGACAGGGCCAGGGCCGACATTCGGTTGATTCGGTTAAAATTCATCGGTTTCGTCCATCGCTTTCGCCCTTCTTTCGCCCTTCTTCGCGAGTTTTGGCCATGACCTCAGAAAATATTCAGAATGAAACTTGGTTTTGGCCATGACAATGCAAAAGTTGAGCATCAAAATAAGGATCAAAATAAGGTTCAAAATAAGGATGAAGATGTTTGAAGTACAGATATGTTGACTTCGACTTCAAGTAGTTTTGATTTGCTTCGGTCAACTCTAGCGGTTTCGAATGGTTTCGACTGAAACTCATTGAACACCAAGGCTGAGGGCTGCCAAGATTCAGAGGCATCGCAAACAGAATGGAGAAGCACAGGGAAAAAGAGCATCATGTTGATATTTATTACGTGATATTATAATATATTATAATACGTTACAACTATATTGCTAGATTATCATATTTATATACATAATATTACTTATTTATTAAGTATTCATTTGGGCATTTTGAAAGAAATATGTTTTGCAGCTTCTCCTTCGAGAAAAACACACTTGCAAGATGGCACACGGGAATTCTCAACAGAAGTATTGCAAGCAAAGGGTTGCCCAAACTGCCGTGGTCGACCTTGTCATTGAATATTGCATGCTGTGAGGGGACGTGATGCAAAGTCAAAGCTATGCACAGGCAGGAGACAGAAAGCCTTGTGATCGCTTGTGCTTACTGACTGGGTGTGTGCTTGCCGTATTGACTTCGTCGCCAGAGTTGCAAAGCGGCACATGCGTAGAACATGCGTAGAAGCCGTGAAAGAAGAGTTACTACATGTGACTACCGCTGCATGGCGTTCATTGACTTGATAGTAAGCCATACTCATATGACCATCAGAATGTCATATCGAGATACTGTATTTGTGCAAGCACAACCAGCATGACCATGGTTCAGTTTCGTCATTTTACATGTTTGTTCAGTGACAGGGTACGGAGATTTGGATCAAGCACGAAGAGGAGGCATTGGTGCAGACATGGAGCAATCACACCATTGATCTCAAGTCCAACACGCCGTGACAGGGCACTCTTACCATCTTAACACCCTGTACCCTGCGCCCTGAAAATCCGTTCAGAATTCGAGCAGATCACTTGAGTCACGAGCAGACTTGAGCTGTGCAATGTTGATGATAGCTTACCTTTTAGCACGTCTTACGTTTCAACATGTTTCAACATGTTTCAGCCAAGTAGCCGAAGTAGCCCTTCAGTAGGCAAAGTCGTCGTCGCCGGTCGTCAGACGTCAGGTCTGGATCCAGGCAGAGATTGTCACATCGAATGACAAGGAGATCATTGTGACCCGACGATGGCAACGATGGCACCCGAAATGGAAAGGTCTAACGAAATGTCGATTTGTTTCCCCCTAACGGAAGCTGGGAACCAACTGGGAACCATGCTGGGAACCATATGTAACCATCACCTCTCTGATATGCACCACATCAATGGCAGCTTATTGGACATGTTTCTGATTCCATTCCGATTCCTATGACCTGACGCTTTATTCCACATGTTTCCATTTACCCAAGCTTCAGTCAAAATGGATTTGAAAGGCTGTGCACTCTGAACATTCACAGACAGCAACTACGATATTCTGAAAAAAAATGGTTTTGTATGCTGAGCATGTGCACATCAGCATGCATCATGCAGCATCATACAACATCATGCAACATGCGTTCCGAGGTGAAAACCTATGAAGATCCCAACAGCCGAATCGTCCTGGCGCCTCATGAGCCGATCTTCCTAAGGACACATGACAAAACATGACAAAACAATGCAAATTTGTCAAACATATTCGATAAAAAAACTAATTCGATACGTCAAGAGAAATTTCATCGAGAACATGTTGACCTTGTCAGAAATGTCCAACGTCAAGATATTTCGACTAATTTCGACAACGGAATCAATGGAGTTCTCCTTTTTACACCTGCAGAAGCAACTTCTACAGAGCCCCACCAGCAGACCTTTCATGACCTTTCTGCCGAATTGATGTGGGTTTTTTAATGGTTTTTTGCGTGTTTGTACGTGACGTGTGTAAATCAAAGATCAAAGCGACACACCGACACACCTCGTCTTCCTGAAGGACTTCTGATGTCTTCACTAGTGAAGGTTTGTCTGTCTTAGATGACTTGTGCCTTGGCAAGAATTTGAGCAGATTCAAAGGCACAGGGGAAATGTTTTACAAAAAAACACTACAGGTCCAGCGCTTGTTTGCACTTGACATCACTTGACACTTTACTCAGCTCAGCTGCAACTTGATTCAATATCCCCAAGGACAGTAATTCCCTTATTCCCTTCCCCATGAGCTGTTGGCGAAAATTCCGGCGGACTTTCAGATGTCAAGACTGAGGTGTCAGCTCACACATTTGCACGAACCTGCTGTGACCGAACGGAACAAACAAGGGACAGCCGACATCAACCGGACTTCCCGAGCACCGGACGAGCATTTGATCAAGGAAGGTTGGAGAAAGTCTGGACTGACGATTTCTAAGGGAAAGACAGGGAAACCATTGCCATTTCGCAGCATGCAGTTTGCACGTTGCGGTTGGCACATTGGAGTGCGTTGCAAGCAGATATAAAATGCTACAGACTAGATTACTCAAAACCATTGACATGTTTAGCCAATGTTTTATGCATGTTGCCATCATATGTCATCCACAAGGTCATCCATGTTTAGCCAATGTTTAGCCAATAGAAATGCTGATGGAGGTACTCAGCTCGCTGCAAAATCGATTTGACATTGACAAGATCTATACATTCACAGGGCCGATTTTGATCGCGTGGGATGCTCAAAACCTTCCACAGTGGTGACTATGCATAATGTACGCATAACAAATCATAACAATAACAATGATAATCATAACGATGCATGAACATGGTAATGCTGACGACAACAACAATAATACTACATATACATAATGCATATATAATATATATATACATACTTATACTTATACTTGTACATATAATACATATAGATATATATATATATTCTTATAGATATGGTTGTATATGTGCGTTTGGGTAGGGCACGGTGTATAACGAAAAAAGACCATGTCAGAGTTCTACATCGAGGCTAAATCCCTTCAAAGGGATTCCAGGATTGTACGACGAGGATGCTGCAGCCTGAGAACGATAAGAACTCCACAGTTTTTGTTCTCGGCTCCACCAGTTTCACCATTTTTGGTCATTTTTGGTCATCTTTGGTCACCTTTGGGGTCACCTTTGGTCCATTTTGAAGATCCTAACTTTGAAATACGTTGAAGATTCGAAGGTTGAGATGACTCACGATGATTCAGCAGATTCAGGAAACCCCAAGGCTTGAAGGCACAGAGCACCAGCTGCACTGCACCAGCTGCACTAGCGATTTGAGGTCTTGAAGAGCTTCATGACAACAAAGCCATCGACCAAACCGCAACTTGTGCCAAATGGTGCAGAAGCTCACACTGAATTTGAAAAAGGATGAAACAATGCCGGAAAGCCGGAAAGGACGAAAAGATGAAATCAGATGAAATAAGATGAAATAAGATGTAACAACAAGTTAACAAGATTTAACAATTTAACAAGTTCATCTCGCAACTGCTGTGCTTCTCTTGTGCTCGAAAGCGAAAGTTTCGTAGATCGCCTTGCAGAGTTCCCTCGTCGATCGCCGAGCCGCCGAGGCATGTCTTCAACACATCGAACTCCACCTACTGGGGCATCTGTGACCGAAAGAAGAGTCAGCTGGATCCCCAGCTGTGGCGTGTAATGCACAAGCCTCGTAAACAAGGGATACGAGGGCATCAAGCCATGAACAAGTATGGCCATATAGCCATAATATAGCCATAAAGCTATGATGAACTGGACTTTCATATCTTTCATGCCTTCTGACTTTCATTTTCTGTCTCAAAATAGGCTTTTGGTATATGTTGGTATTGAAACATCTTCTGGATTTTGGCGCTCAGGACAGTCCTCATCAGTGGTGAGTCTGGTGCAGGAAAGACAGAGACCACAAAGTTTGTGATGTCTATAGCTCAGTTTAGCCATGGTTGAATCCATTGAACATGGCTGAATCATGTTTTTTCGCATGTCGAACTAGCGCAAAAATCATGTTGCCCTGAACGGAATCGAAGTTTGAAGCACTTTCCACAGAATCGCAAGCCATTTGGGGTGAATTGCACTACACAAAGCTCACCCGGGAGCATGGGAATGACGACCTGCATCGGCTCAGGAAATTCCTAGCAATGGCAGGAGCAGCAGATGGTGAGGTCACCAACGCTGCTGCCTCAGGAAGACACAAGATGATGACAACAGGGTGGAATGGCTTGGAAAAAATATGACAAAATCGAAAGCGACTAAACATGACATGAGCTGTGACATGCTATGACGAACTGGCAAAGGTCGCAAAGGTCAACGACAGTCGTTTAAGCATGTCTCAGTGAGCCTTTGAGCATTCGCAAGGTGGAGAAGCAGGTATTGGAATCCAATCCACTTTTGGAGGCCTTTGGCAACGCTCGAACCCTCAGGTGCATGGGTCGGCGCCTCCCCTCACAGACCAGTTTAGAGAGCTTAGAATCTTGGGAATCACTTTGAAAACAGGAACAAATGATGGAAACATGCGAACCACAATGGACATCAGACCATCTGCCCACACTGCCATACACTGCTGCTGTACTGCATCCTTTCAGCTTTGCATATCTTTGCATATCTTTGCATCATGTGAATCCATGGCCTTGGCTCACCTTTTGGCCAGGAATGACAACTCCAGTCGCTTTGGGAAATTCATTGAGCTGCAGTTTCGCACCAGTGGCAAGGCCAGACAAATGGAAAAACATGGGGCGTGTTTCGGAGATTTGGGAAGGATTTGTGGAGCACAGTAGAGCAGCATCATTGCTACATTGCTACATCCTGCATTGCAGCGAGGACGCAGCTAACCTGGGAGTTGCGGGAGAGAACTGTCGTCTTTGCGGCGCGCGAATTCAGACCTATCTGTTGGAGAAGGCTTGCCGTCGGAGTCTTTTTTCAATGACCAAAAATGTGATGCGCGCGGATCAACGTGCATCAAAAATGTGACAAACACGTTCAAACCATTGTCCGAAACGGGACTGAAAGATTGAGAGGGAAAGCCCAATGGCCCAATGGCCCAATATGCTCAATGTGCTGTTCAGAAGACTTTACCAAACCTGCTTTATGATTACAGCGACACCATTTTTTCTAAAAGAATCAGCAGTTTAGTTATCAGTTTAGTTTATCAGGCACATTCGAAAGAGTGACACAAGCCAGGTCCGCGTGTGTGATCAACAAGAAGGCGAAAGGAACTACCATCTCTTTTATGAGGTCGGCCTCGGCAGCCGGTCAGAAGCCAGCCGCTGACGTCACTGGGACGTCTGACGGACAGTGGATCAATTGGGCAGGCCTGCGCTGCAGCTGCGCTGGCATCAGACTGCAATTATTCGCCAGACGCCAAGGAAGATAAAGATAGATAAGGAAGCTGTTGAAGATCAGACGCTTTCATATCTTTCAAAACTTTCTTTGACATGACAATTCGGTACAAAGTCAGCGCATTATGCATTGCTTCCATTTGTCAGCGATTCGAGTATACTGAGTGCACTGAAACTGCATAGAGAGAATCCCACCAGTTTCAAGGTATCCTCAGAAGCTCTCGAAAGAAAAAGTGAAGAGGGAGTTGACTTTGAACTTGGAGGCATTGGAACATCAAAATGCTTGAAGACTTCTTGAAGACTTGGGTGTTTATTTGGGTCCAAGCTCTCTGCAAGACTCCCAGTGGTTGGACTGGATGCGATGCAGGGCTTCAGCGACCTGGGAAACTTTGCTTACCTCACACGTTCCTCATGCAAGACATTGATACTGAGCTGAAAGTCTGAAAAAGATATCTGGAAGATATTTGAATTCTTAGACACACTTAGACTTAGACACCAGACGGGGGAGAGACTGGGAGACAGTGACAGTGACCGATTTTGGATCACGTAATTGAGATGTGCAGATGACATTCTGAGGAGATTCAGATTCATGGAGATCCAAGATTAAAAGATTTAACAAAATAAAAGTGCAAACATTGCCATTTTTTGCCGTTGCAAGAGGATAGATAGAAGTGTATTTACTCCAGACAGCTCCAGACTTCTTCCCCAGTCAGAAAACCATCAACATTGTATTACCATGCTGAAGCTCTTGAAGCCATTGCCAACGTGCCACTTGTTATTAAACTGTGTTTGCTTTCCATATTTGCAACGACTGTGTGTTTCAAGAAGGTGCTTTTATACAACGAGTGTTAAACGGTGTATATTAAATTTGGAAATAAATTGGTGCTTAAAATTATCAATGAAGTTCTCTAAGAGACTTTTCTCTAAGAGTCCTATATTTGTATATATAATCAAATATAGATAATATAGATGTATTATAATTGTATTGTGAAGTTTCTCATGTTAATGAACAACCACTTTCAGCACTTTCCGTTTTGAATACCTGGCACCAAGGAAAGACGTCGACGATGTGGAGATGTTCGAGCGCCGCATCCACGTCTCCCTAGACACGTTGGACCACGTTGAACATCGCCATGGCCCACGGCCACAGACATCATGTAAAAAAAACATAAATTGATCAATCATGTATTATGTGTACAAATATGTATAACATGATTATAATATGATTCGAATATGATTATAACATGTATACATCATTCTACATTACAGATGCAGTGATGCTGCTTTGGGGAATTTGCACAGCGCTAGCTCTTTGGGCTACAGACGCATTCGACATATTGCAGTGCTAGATTCGTCTCTTATATCCACCCAGAATCCATTCCTTTCATTCCTTTCATTGCTTTCCTGTCGTTCCCGTGTCTCTGTCTTTCCGTGTTCTCGCTCTGAACATGTCTCGAATTCTGACATCTCCGTCTCAGATCGACGACTTGAGATCAGACTGCCAGGCAATGCAAACCATTGGCATCCCAGAGGATCAGATGACACAGATTCTGCGCATGGTGGCATCGGCCAAAGCCTTTGCGCGCACGTCAACATGCATAAACATGCATAAATTAGATGTGTGTTTCGACTCTCAAGAGGTTTGGGAATGCTGCTCTTTTAAGATTTTTGATTGTGTCGTGCCATGTCGTGTCATTGTAGAATGACTTAGAATGAAGCCTGTAGTCACTGTAGTACTGCATTGCAAAGACTACGGTACGGCACTGTATGGCAAATATGTTGGGACTTCAAAGTCTTGATGCATCGTGATGCATCTTGATGCCTCAGAGTCTTGGGGGATCCCGAATCCTTTTGGTTTCGGGTCGTTTGGTCACTTCTACGGATTGCAATTCGGAACTCTGTCCCGTTTCAGTCCCATTTCAGTTGGACAGGTTGACTCATGGCATCATTTTTTTCCGATTCGATGCTCGTTGGTGGAACTGAGGTCCTCCACCTGGGGAACATCAAATTTGATGCTCCGCCAAACAACAGCGAAGGCGCCAGCTGCCATGGTGCATGGAGGGGTGGAAAGACAGAAAAACACTGTGGATCCCCATGGATCATCGATTCACTACAGAATACATGTTCATAATACTTACAATACTTACATATTTTACTTACATATTTTATCATGTTACATCATGTTACTTACATGTTTTATCATATTACTTACATATTTTATCATATTTTAATAGTTTAGTTGACCAAGTCTTGTATCCGAATTCCAGCGAAGGGTCCCAGATTTGCAAGACAACAAGTCATAGAAAAAACTGAAACCATATTAGTGACAAAGAGTACATAACGAAAGGTAGGGTTGAAGAAACAAACTTTCTCCAGCTTGGACATGTCTTGCATCGTCTGCAAAGGCTCTATGGCAATGTCTGAGTGCGAGAAGTCCATGGTTCTGCCCTCACGCTTGCTTTGAGTGCGAGTTGCCTCTGATTCTGTACTGCTGATATATATACTATGGTATAGTATGGTATAGTATGGTATAATATTATCATTATAGTTTATGATCATGTAGGTGATGCATGCATGCACATGTATAAATTTCAAACGTATGTACCGTATGAATATATTTCAATATATTTCAGATGCCAGTATTTCAAGCTCTCAAAGCTTCAATTTCCAATGTTGATACTGGCACTGCATCGCGTCAGGAGATGTCCAGCAAGCTGCTGGGAGTTGATCGCAAAGCGCTTGAGACGGATCCTCGGGAAGCGCAGTACGACATGGTGGACCTGAAAGACATTGAAAAGACATTGAAAGACCATTCAACCGAAATTCAACCTGCAAAGTCACAGTCTTTAGTCACTTAGTCGGCGAATCAACTTGACACAAGTGGTGATAAGTGATGAAACAAGTGGAGAAACAAGTGGAGAAACGTGTGGAGTCGACGTTTGACGGCTGAGGTCTGCCCTGTGCAACCAGACTCGGGTGACGCGAACGGAGAAGATCCGAAGCCCGGTGAATGTCCGCAGAGATCTCAGCGCACAGCGATGGCCCAGCTGTTTCCAGTTGTTTGCTGCACTGAAGATACATGATACTGTATACAATAGACCAAAGCTTCACAAAGAAACAAGATGAAACAAAATTTCAACAAGATTTCTCCATAAGATTTCTCCAAGATTTCTCCAAGTCCTCAAAAAATGTCGAGAAATCAGTGAATTTCCAGCGAATTCCGAGAGATCACATGGTCGATCCGACCAGGTCGAGAGATTTCGTTAGTTTCGGCAGTGTTTGGCAGGTCAAGCAGCAGACAATCGAGATGCTTTGGGGAAAGCAGTCTACGGCATTGTCTTCAACTACATCGTGCACCTAGGATGAAAATGGATGAAAAGAAAGATGTGCAAAAATCCAAGATGAGAACAAGATTGATATCCAAGTGCAAGTACTGCACAATTTCTACATCTTACTACATAGTGCTACATTCAGATGCTATTTGGATGAGCCTAGTCATCGCAGAGACTTGGGGGCCCATTGGAAGTCGCATCGGCGACATGACATCCAGATTTGCGAATGTTGAGGGATTTTCAGCGGACAAAAGCGGACTTTGAAGCTTTACGTGCACAAAAGAATGGACAACACAAGACTCCGAGAATGACAGAAGAATTAAAAGGGTTTTTTTTCATTTCGTCATATTTGGTTCAACTTAATTTGAAACCATTTGCACATGATTCATTGTGTCTCGGAGCCTTTGGAGCCTCCTGAGATCTCCTGAGACTGTGATTTGTGGATGACCAGAGACTTGCCCATGCCCTTGATGTCCCCAGGCGGAGTACAAACATGTCCATTGGATACGTCGAGGACTGTCCAGACGCAAACACTTGACAAAATATGGCCAAATGGTGAATGTTGCAAATTTGGAAAAAAAGGTTCCAAGGAAACGTTTCAACGTCTGCACAACCTGGATTTAGGTTGCTTGGCTGCTGCAGGACGTGAAGCTCTTCGCCGGTGTGCTTGACATTTTCGGTTCTCGTCTCAAAACGGTTGGTAGTTTCAGAATAGTTTGGCAACGTTGCGGTTCTCGTTTCAGTTCTCGTTCTCGGAGTGTTTTCCTATGTTTTCCTGTTTCTTTTGTTCTCTTTGCTGTGCTATGCAGGTTTCGAATGCTTCAAGATGAATTCCTTTGAGCAGTGCGGAACTCGGAACTGACAGTCTCTGACCTCGTCCGTTCACAGTCTGCCGTGTTTGGAAACGGGACGCGGGCCTTGTTGGCACATGCTACGCTTCTATGCCCATCCTATGCCCATCTCGAATCCGCTTCAGGCTTTGCATCAACTTTACGAATGAACGGCTGCAGCAGTTCTTCAACTCCTTTGTTTTCAAGCTGGAGGAGACACGACACTGAATTCACATGAATTCACGGGCCTCATGTTGATGTTCGATTATGTCTATGTGGTTGATGTTCGATACTCATACGCAATCCTTGATGCGCCCTCTATCATATTAGACTATATTAGACTATATTATAGACTCATGTCAGATGCATATTTTCCATAGATATTTCAAAAGATTTCAAGAAATATTACAAATTTAAAAATAGAACTGTCTTTTTCCATCTTTCCGTTGCCCAGGAACAGCTCTACGAGCGCGAGGGCATCGAATGGGATCCGTTGGATTTTCCTGACAACCAGGACAAGGGATGACAGCACACGGGCACCAAACGGAATATACCCAGGTAATCCCAGGTAGAAGATTCATGAATTGATGAAAGATCGATGAAAGATTGAAGATTGAGGTGTCTGTCATGATTGTGTCTCGAGCAAAATCCGCCCGCACCGAAGGTGCTGGGGCGTGATCTTCCGGATGGCACTCGTAAAAAGGTTACAGGTTTACCTGGGGGGGGGGGGCATTTTTCGTCCAAAACCTCCTGTTTTTGATAGGTCGTGACGCTCGCCTTCAAAAAACACTGTAAAAAACAGTACGGAAGACACCTGTTCGTGAACGCGCCCGTCCAAAATCGGCAAGCGAAAAGTGAAAAAAAACCGTGTTTTTCAACTTTTTGACCTCAATTTTTTGGTTTGCAACATCTTTTTTTGCGGTTCCGCAGGTGGCCGGGCCCGGAGGCGGATTTTTGAGTTTTTGGACCCGTTTTCGGACTGATTTTCGTCGTTTTGTGATAGCAGAAACACTGATTTTTACAGTGTTTTTCTGTTTTCTGCATGCTTGACGGCTAGCTTCAAAACTTCCAAAAACCTCGTAAATTACGCTGTTTTATGTTACGGTGTGAATGAAAACATCGTAAATACCAGTGTTTTTTGACGTTGGTTAAAAAAACACTGTAAATTACAGTGTTTTTGGCCACCTGACCCTCGAAAACCATGGTATTTGCAGTGGTTTCTGCTTCTCACCGCGCAAAAACACTGTAAATAACAGCAATTTCGCCGTTTTTTCATGTTTTTCGTTATTTTTTGAACTGTGTTGGTCCGCTATACATGGCTATCAAATTCTTCGCGTTTTTTTTTCCGACAATCGGTACTTTCGGATGATTTTGGTCTCAATGGCCGACATCATTGGCAGTTACGAGCGGCTGCCCAACGATGCGGTGCGGGCGGTTGCCGTCGCGAAGCGACGTGAATAAATCCTGAAAACAAGAGAATCGAGAGAGGATCAGATGCTTTCCAGCAGGAAATGATATCAGATAAGTGATGAAAGGAGAGAGACGTGTTTTTGAATTGGCGATCTGTCATAGTAATCTGAACAAGATGTGATATAAAAAGATAGGTACAGTCGGTACGGTGATATGTTGATATGGGTCATTATGGGTCCAATGGATATATTTCAATGTGTTTTAGCATGATTTGGCTATGTGTCATTCTTGAGTCAGAATTCATCAGCTGTGGAGTATCCCTAGCGCTCCAGGATGCTGTCGACATGCTTCAGGGCAAGGTGCATTGGATTGTCCATGATCGTCCCAATTGGTTTGCGACGAAAAAGCACTGTCGACATCCATTCTGTTGGTAGAAAATCAAATAAAATTCATGCATATCACATCATATCACATCATATCACGTTCAAAGCAGTTCTTTCATCGCAGATTCCCTCAGATTCCTTTCTACGTGTTTCTACATTTTCTCAACTCATGTCAACTCTTCAAGACATTTCTAGTAGGCACCAGCGAAGTTGTCCCTCTCCATGCGATGCCACAGGGCACCGGTGTTTTTGCCATCCTGGATGAGGAATGCGTCGCTGAGCCCAGATGGGGCACCAGTTCGAATGCAAAAGCTGAAGATATCGAAACGGAAAATATTTCGAACTTTCGAAATCTGAATTAAGATAGGAAGGACATACAATTGTTCTTCTTTTGAAGCAATAAGACTTTCAGGATTGATCTTTGTTCGCGACATCATTTTCTGTCATGGATGCCATGAATTTGTGGGTATGTCGCAATATGTCGCAATTGCGTTTGTGGAAATGCGTGTTTGCCCACCCATGTCGGTTACTCTTCTCAATCTTCTCACTCTGAAATCAAATGTCGTTGAAACTGCAAGAGTGAAAGCACCCGAAAGAGTTCGGTGGCGTGAATTCGTTCTAACGTATCAAGCTTTCTGCGCAGGTGGTGCCGCAGGGTTCCGACCAGGGCTTTTGCAACAAGTTGATCAAGCAGCACAAAGGCGCACGAAATAAATCATTGGAAATGTATCGATTCCCAAAGAATCACTGCTTCAAGGAAGTACTTGGGTGCATTCGAGACAATATATTTTGGGTGGTAAAATTGCAGCGAGCCCCAAACCACATAGGTTTTTAGTGTATCAAGATGTATCAAGATGTATCAAGATGTATCAAGATGTATCAAGATGTATCAAGTAGGCAGTAGACGAAGACATGACGCGTTTTTGGATCCTTATCGTTAGGCCATCGACGCTTTGATGAGATAAAGACCAAGCCCACATGGCAAAGATCTCAGAGATTTACATGAGAACATGCTCAACCATGGAATCGTGGTGTAGGGAACCTTTTGGGGAGTCTGAATTCAAAGAATTCTTTGAAGGTCCCTCTTACATTGGCTCTTCAGCCATGACCTCGCAAAAAAAAAAAAACGTGCAACAAGAGATCAGAATAGATAAGATGTTTTCTTGTTGAAAGATGTTGAAAGCAGAAGCTGTAGAGTTTTACCTTTGAATCTTGCTGTTTGAACATCTTGAACTGGATCTTCCTAACATGTTCTAAGTTCTAGCTTCAACTTCTTTCATACTCGGCAGTAGACATTTGTTCCATGTTCAAACGGCGTGATGTTCGGAGCCTTGTCCGATGCCTGTGATCTGTGATGCCTCGCACCCAGGTTTGTCATCAAGCACTTCGCCGGACCAGTGAGTTATTGTTGCCAGCCTTAAGTGAGTTATTGTTGCCAGCCTTACATGGTCGAAATGTCGAAATGTCACGTGCAATGTCATGTGCAAACTTCTGTGACTATCACCGAAACGGACACATGATGAAATGCAGCAGGCTGCTTGCAGATTGGTATCATTTGGTATCTATATCTGTATTGATATATTGCCATGATTTGTAATGTGTGTACATGCATACGACAATGTACGAAAATCTATGACCATGAATGTATGACATGAAGGATTTGTGAAGGTCTCTCAGAAGTTTTGGGGGCCTTGAGCTCAGGTTCAGATGGTTTCCTGGACAAGAACAAGGATCAGCTGAGCAACGCAGCAACCTCAGATCATGCCAGGTTCATGCGAGGCTGGAAGCTTCACCTAATTCCAGACTTTGAGAGACACCACACTGTCTTAATTATCTTGGCACTTCATTGGGCGGCTTGCTCGGGACGGAACATTAAGAACAGTACCTGCTTCACCAAATTGATTCAACTGTAACATACTGTAACTATATCTCATCTCATTATAATGTCATTGTATTTATATCATGTATATCAATGTATATCATATAATTCATGTAATTCTCATGTTGTCAAATATTCTATATGGCCATTCTATGGTCATTCTACGGTCTGTGTACACTACCGATACCTAGGATTTGATCGAATGTATGGGCTCCAGCACAAATGCTTTCATTGTCAAGCTCTTCAAGCAGGCTACGGCTACGGGAAAAGCAGGGGAAAAGCAGGGGAAAGCTGATGAAAGTGCTCATTGTGTCAAATTGTGTCGTTGTTTTTCTGAAAGTTTATGCCATAGTTTATGCCTATACACAACAGGTATATACACATGTTGTATACATGTATCGCATATATGTATGTACAGCGCATAGCATAACTACCTGGAAAACATTGTGGCGGGCACTTTCCAAAGTGCCCAAAATTTTGGTCACTGGAAAGTGTGCCACTTTAGAAGTAAGTAGGCGGCATTTTTTGCGGATATTGACGGCGCTTTTACAAGTTTGTGTGGCACGTTTGCCAAATATGTTGCAATAAAAGATGAAGTGCCTTTTTAAAAATTTTGTTTCCAAGAATTGCAGAGTGACACAAACATGGTCTACCAATGTCTACCATGTCAAAGTAGCCTGAAGTAATAGGCAACGGCTTGCCACCTGAGGACGTGAAATATGGCGAAGTCTTGAATAAGGACTTGCGGCAAGATTTGCATCGGCACTTGCAGGTCTTGAATGGTCTTGATGTGTTGACAATTGTTGACATGTTTCTCACTGAAACAATAATCAAATGATATCAAATGTTTATACAAGAGTATCCAAGTTCAACTCGTCTCCGGAGCTCAAGACTCTGACCGTGTCTTTTTGCATGGCTATATAATTATTCTAGTAATTATTGGAGACCATAGAGGGTGCTTGACAATTCTGGACAAGTCATTTTGGTCATCAACTTAACTACTTGAACTGCTTGAACTCCTTGATTGGTATGATTCCCTTGTCGCCTTGCTTTAGGACCTTCCAGATTCTGGAAGGTCCTCCGTAATTGGTGTTTTTCTGTCCACTGGACCTTCAACTCTTCACCTTTCGCTACTGCGAACGGAGCACCTCAAATTGTGGACATGGTGATGACATTCCTACCATTTTCTTCATCAGTGTTTTTCCATTTATTCTTTCGATTTCTTTGGTATTGGTAGGATTTTGTAGGTGCTTCATTTTGCTGAAGGCCGATTCATCACCATGTCTACCTTAAAAGAATCACGAAAGCGTTCAGCTTGCAAGGATGAATCGCAGGTATGGAACTCAGCCACTGCACCTGCTGTGTGTCTTCAGATGTCTTCAGTTTTTTGGTTTGAGTCTTTGATAAGGCTGAAACATATTCAAACATATTGAGACATTGACCTCATTGGTTCAGGATGCAGCTCCCAGCAAGAAGAAGAAAAAGTACACCGTCTCCTCGGAGTTCAAGGCACCGATTGGTACCGATTGGGCACCGATTCGGCACCGTTGAAGCCAAAACTCAACGACTCAACGTGCGGGCTGAGTGTCAGACAGTGTCAGACAGTGTCAGATTGTTTGGGTTTCTTTCGCTTCATACTTTTGATACTTTTGCAGTTATGTGTTGTGTTACCTAAGGCCCGGGAGAAAACTGACTGTTGCTGACAGTAGCTGACAAAGTTGATTGCATCACTGGCATGACTGGAACTCTGGCGGACCCACTTTCCTTTCTTGCACAGTGTCCGTTTCGTTTGCCACCTTGCTCTAGGATCAACTGTCATCTCTCATGGATATTGTGGATCTCACTGAGCCACAC